TAGTAAAATTTTTTATTGGGATGCGTACATAAATATTTCAAAGGCGTTTGCTTGATGTTTTCCCTAAGTGCCTGTATATTTAAGTTTTGCTGGGAGTAGGTAATCCTTTTCTATCTATCCTGGTAACAGAGTGGTCAAAGAAAAGGAGATCTGGAGAATTCTAGAGGCAGATTTTCGAACCCTTTCTGTACTTCCTCCTTACCCAAAATTTCAAGGATTAGGCGATTCTTTATTTTTTGCTGAGTGTCTGATTTATTCCATGTTGAAGTACTTGAAAGAGTTTCTCTTTTGCCTATTCGCTGGGATTGGACTATCTGGAATGCTTCATACAGTATATGTTTATAGTAAACTTAATTTTTTTAATTGGAAAAACAGCTATCTGACAGATACCCTACTATCATGTTACCTTTCCCATAACTTTTTAAAATTTACTTTTTATTTTTACAAATAGAACTTTAGGAAATCTTTATAAAAATGAGAGGCTTAAAAAAAATTTTTTTTTTTGAGGTAGAGTCTTGGGTAGAGTCCAGTAGTATCATTGTAGCTCACAGCAACCTCAACTCCTGGGCTCAAGCAATACTTATGCCTCAGCCTCCTGAGTAGCTGGTAATACAAGTGTGCATTACCACGCTTGCCTAATTTTTCTGTTTTTAGTAGAAATGGGATCTGGCTCTTACTGAGGTTGGTCTTGAACTCTGAACTCCAGAGCTCAAGCATTCCTCCCACCTTGGCCTCCTAGAGTGGTAGGATTACAGAGCCACTGTGCCCTGCTCAGTCATTTTTTTTTTAATCAGGGTTTTTTTTTAATTTTCCTTTTCTTTTGACCTCATTCTGTCTTAAAGGAAAGCCCCAACCAGTTAAAGTGAATGTGTTTCCCTTAATGTGTTTTGGGAACTTAGCAGTTTTTAAAATGTTTCTTAAAGTTTATTGCTGGTTTTAGACCTGATACTGCTTTGATTTTTTTTTTTTAAAGTGCTACCATTTCCAAGAGTAGACATAAAAAGCAAATGCTAAGGATTTAAAGATGTTTGAAGAGGCAGATAACATATGTTGCTGTTCCCATTCGTCAAAAGACCTCTCTAGGAAATGCCGCCCCTTTCTTCCTACTGCCATTTAAGTTTATTGGAATTTAAGTGACAACAATGGAAGATCGGGAGTTGAAAGATATATATTGTTATTACAACTCCACTTATTTGCATTTATTTCCTTGGAGCTTAAGTTTTCTCCTTCATAGAAAGGAGGCATGATAAACAACACTTTTCACGTTGCAGTGTTGTCCAGGTGGTACTCTACTCAGATGGCTCTCCATATGTTCATTTGTTCATGGTAGTCTGAGGATTCCTATTCCTTTTCATAGTTCCCAAATCACAGGGATGGAAGGCAGGAAAATGATAATTTTGCCTTTGTGTTTTGTTATCTACTTATGGTTTGTATCTTTTCAGGTGGATACAGGCAATACTGGAAGGGTGTTAGCTTCTGAAGCCGCTGCTTTCCTGAAAAAATCAGGGCTTCCAGACTTGATACTTGGAAAGGTAGTATTTGTTCATTATTATTAGATAGTAATGAAAATATAGTACTGTAGGTGAACTGGATGGAAATTCAGAAATATACCATCCAGAAACTTAGAACCAAGGCATAGAAGCAGTTACAGTAATGGGATGGAGGGAATTTCTGGTGTAGTGATTTACTCTCTTGAAAAGTAAGGTATTTTTCAAATTTTTAGAAATAAATTGCCTTTTAGTAGGATGAAATGAGGAAGTAATAGCACATTTGGTGGGGAGAAACAGTGCAGACTGGGAGTCTTGCCACCCACTCAGACTTGGCTCTCTCCCTACTTCCTCTATTGTAACTGTCGTGTTTAATGTGTGGTGAATAGAGTGGGGGAGGAGAGGCTTTGGAAAGTGCACAAAGAGGTGGAAAGCCCCTCTCTTGTCAAATCCTGGTATGTAATATTGATATACATTCAAAATCCTGAAAAATAATCACTATCAATAATATAAGGATTCACAAATACACATTAACCATCTTAATTTCTCCATGGGAAAGAATATCATGTTAATAAGGATCTAAAATCAAGGTGTTATGTCTTTTTTTTTTTTTTTTGAGACAGAGCCTCAAGCTGTCCCCCTGGGTAGAGGGCTGTGGCATCATAGCTCAACAGCAACCTCCAACTCCAGGGCTCAAGCAAGTCTCCTGTCTCAGCCTCCCAAGTAGCTGGGACCACAGGTGCCTGCCACAATGCCGGCTATTTTTTGGTTGCAGTCATTGTTGTTTGGCCGGCACAGGCTGGATTCGAACCCGCCACCTTAGGTGTATGTGGCTAGCGTCTTAGCCACTTGAGCTACAAGCACAGAGCCAAGGTGTTATGTCCTAATAGAAAGAGCACTGGATTCAGAACTGAAGTTAGTGAAAAAGACATTAGACTGGAAGTTAAAACCTTGGTTTTGGTTCTTCCTCTGATATCTTGATTGTTCTTAAGCCAAGTCACTTATCCTTACTGGGCCTTAGTATCTTTGTGAAGGTTGCACTAAATAATCTTTAAGATTTCCTCGTGTTCTTTTTTTGTAATTGGGATTCATTGAGGGTATAAATCTTTCTACTCTTAATTCTATGATTTTTATATCTGATTAGTAGAGAATATGAGGTTGTCATTTATCATTATGATGATATTTGTTTAAAATATAGACTGATATTTTTTTTCCCCCTAAATTTCAGATCTGGGATTTAGCTGACACAGATGGCAAAGGTATCCTAAACAAACAAGTAAGATTCATAGATTCATTTGAAAATTTCTTTTGAGTGATTCAAAATCAGCAATTTTGTTTTTGTTTTTAAGCTAAGAATTTTTTTTTTATCTAACATTAGGGCTTTGCCAGGGCAGATGTCAGAAAAATGAAAATATTTCTAATTAATTATAATTGATTTCTAAAGGTTAGTGTTTGGTGACATTATTCTCCTGGAGTTTATTTTTCTGATTTTCAAAGGGACTTTGCACTTTAAATAAATTTCTTAGGTGTTAAGGGTTATAAGTAAAAGTGGATGTTATTAGCAAGTGTTAATGGTATTGCCAAGTATATTAGAAAGGAAACTCTTGGGGTGGCGCCTGTGACTCATAGGAGTAGGGCACCAGCCCCATATACCGGAGGTGGCAGGTTCAAACCTAGCCCCAGCCAGAAACTGCAAAAAAAAATAAATTAAGGAAACTCTTAGCTAATCTAACTTTAGCATTTTGGTCCAGGTCTTACCCTATATACCAAAAAATAGAAATACATAAAAGTAGTTTGGCCAAGGATGTTGAATATTTCTGTCCTTTGAAGTATTGACTGTTGGGGATGGATTTCAGAGTTGTATGTGGGACTGAATTCAGTTTGCTACATTTGTGAAGAGCCACTACTGAAAGCTAATTCCCTACTATGTGGATCCCACAGGGCTGAAACAATAGGATCAAACCCAGAAAAGATAGGAAAAAGAAATTAGATGAGTGGGTCAGAATACCTAGTTTTTTAATTAAGATTTCAGGGCCAGATTGTAGTCCCGTTTGGAGCCTCTAGGTAGAAGGGCTAGTTCAGTACATTGGAGGCAAGAAGACTAAACTCATAAGCGCACCCAGGTACTATACATTCGAGTTAGCAAATGTTTGTTGAGTACCTGTTATAAGCCAGGCTTTAGAAATGGAGAAGTGTACATGACAGATGTGGTCACTATCTTTAAGATTTTGGAGTATCATAAATTCTTCATTGATATTTCTGAATTTTGGAATTTGAGTTTGAGCCATCTTTATTACTTCTAAGTACTGGAGTTACGGGTCTGTAGTTCAATTTTGAATTTGCATTGGAGTCATAGAGTTTTAATTAACATATGAATGAAAGGAAATAAGCCAACACTCACTGTTTCTAGGTGCCCAGTGTTTTTGTTTTTTTTTTTTTTTGTAGCAGAGCCTCATTATACTGCCGTTGGTAGGGTGCTGTGGTGTCACAGCTCACAGCAACCTCAAACTCTTGGTCTTAAGCGATTCTCTTGCCTCTGCCTCGCAAGTAGGTGGGACCACAGACGTCTGCTACAATGCCCAGCTATTTTTTGGTTGCAGTTTTCATTGTAGTTTAGCAGACCAGGTTTGAACCCACCACCCCTGGTGCATGTGGCTGGTGCCCTAACCACTGAGCTACGGGCACTAAGCCTAGCTCCACTTTTATAGAAAGGTTTTATTTAAATTGCCCAGGGCTTCTACTTCAAGAAGTAGAACTAGAATTTAATGCAGAATTATTACTTTCAAGCCCATACTGTGTGAGTGGACCTGATTACCTAAGAGTAGTTAAATCTTCTTACATAGAGTGAGAAGAGAAAGATCAGTGTTGGAATACTTAGTGCCAGCATCTAAGATTGAAGGAGGCATTGCCTCTGAGAGGCTTGAAAGGTCAGAGGAGAACTAGGAGAGCTTTGGTAGAGGAGAACTGGGAGGATCATACTTTCCTAGGCTGCA